CAGTAGATACTAATTCAGTATTTATTAATTCAGTAGATACTAATTCATCTCTCAGTAGCTGTGCTGCCACAGAACATTCATTCAACCTTTATTTAGACAGGTAAATCCCATTCCCAATCCATCCATCCATCCATCCATTTTCTTTACCCGCTTATTCCATTTTGGGTCACGTGGGTCGCTGGTGCCCATGTCCAGCAATCACTGTGCGAGGGGCGGGGTACACCCTGGACGGGTCGCAAGTCCATCACAGGGACACATAGAGACAAACGAGACAAACAACCATTCACTCTCTCTCTCTCACCTAGGGACAATTTAGAGTTACCAATCAGCCTAACATGCATGTTTTTTGTCTGTGGGAGGAAACTGGAGTACCTGGAGAAAACCCACGCATGCACGGAGAGAACATGCAAACTCCACCCAGAAAGGCCCCTGGACCGGGGTTTGAACCAAGGACCTGCTCGCTGAGAGGCAGCAGCTCTACCAGTTGCGCCACCGTGCTGCCATTCCCAATCCCAGAACAGTATTTAATTATTAATATTTAATTAAAAGTTTTTTTTTAATCTTGTGTAAATCTCATGCTACAACATGGACACCCACGGCTTATAAACAAGTGTGGCCTGCATATGTACTTAAAATATATTTTTTTATTAAATTCTTTTTTTTTTACTTTTAATATTTAGTGGACACAGCTTATACTCAGGTGCACTCAATAGTCCAGAATTTACAGTAGTCTATTTGAATGCTGAACTCTGGTCTTGCATTTCTGAACAAAAGCTGTAAAAACATCAGTTTTTAACGTTTCAGCTGTTTATTATTTACCTTTGAGCTTGCTGAGCAGCTGTCGTTGGAACATGGAGTATCTGAGGGCTTGAAGGAAAAGCTGAACATCTTGCTGCTTACATGAGTTTAAAGCCTCACTGCTGAGAGGAATCACACAGTCCTGTAAAAGATACAAACGTGTTTATAAATACTGTGTTTGACGGACACTCCTTGGCTGAACACTTGGACAAAGACCAACCACTGCTGCAGACGGCAACTTCCGAACAAGCTGGTGTTCAGTACACATCCGGGCTGAGTGTGAGTGTGGCCTTTTTAAAATTCAGAAAGGATTTCTTTTTTCAAAATGACCTCCTCTACTTTTAAAACTAAAATTCAATACAAGAGAAATTGGATTTTTGCAGAAATGCAGAGTGGAAATGTGGGAGTGCTGAAATTTGCTGAGGAAGCCAAAACTGAGTTGTTCAAGGTAAAATGAGGAAAAACACTAGCTAAAATACAAACATAGCAAATTATATCCTGATGCAACGAAGCTCAGTCAGGTCCTCTGGATGGTTTCTTTTTGATGAAAGGTTTGCTCTTTCATCCAAAAGACTTCATCAGTCTGAGAAGCCACAACAAACTCAGTCTGATAAATAGCACCTTCACAGAGTGGGTCAACCAGTTGGATGGTGCTCAGATGGTTTCTAGAGTCCACCCTGTCCCCCGCTGTTGAAATGTTTGATGAAGTCTTTGATGAAATTCGAAACGTTTCAACAAAAAGAAACCATCCAGAGGACCTGACTTTTCTTGTTGGATTTTCTACCTGGATTATTGAGCATGAACTTTGACACATCCTGATTCATGCTCAATAATCCAGGTAAAAAAAATCTAACAAAGTTAAGTCAGGTCCTCTGGACAGATTAAAAAAATATTTAACAAAATAAATAAATAATTTAAAAAAATCAAAAACTTGTTTAAACATTTCATCTTTAATCCAAAAAACGTTGTCAGTCTGAGGAGCTGTAATAAACTCAGTCGTATAAGCAGCACCTTCTCGTAGTGGATCAACCAGTTGGACATCCAGAACCAGCTGTTCACATGACAAACACACCTGCAAACTCACAAGGGATGACAAACCTAGCCCCCACCCTCCACCCAGATGGCAGCAGGGGCGGAGACGCGTGCGGCCGGTAATGATCCATCTGAGATTAACAGGACATTCTACGTCTTTTGACCGGTGGGTCAGCGGACACGCACAGTCGGTGATGATCAGCGGATCCATCTGAACCTTAACAGGACCTTTTTTTTTACCTCTACCGGCCAGTCGGACCTGCCTCCTCCTCAACAAGTAAATGAACACATTATTATTTGTGAAACCGCACCAAAGAAGCCTGAGCCAACGTGCACAATTATTGCGCAATGCACCAGCATGTTTTATAAATGTACTGGCTGTACTGGCTGTACTGGCTGTACTGGCTGTGCTGGCGTGTTGTTGTAACCTGTCACGAGAGCCACCAATAAAGCATAGCGAGCCGCATGTGGCTCGGGAGACACGCAACGAGTATCCCTGCTCTAGAACACCCTCAGACGGACTTTTCAGATCTTAGGACACACTCTTCTTGGTGTCTGTGGCAGACGGCTACATGGTTCAAACATTAACGTAGCGCTAAGAAGGATGCTAAAGACGTAGCGCTCCGCTTCTCTCACACATCCTAACCTCCCTCCCCCCACTGCACCACACTAACAAAGCTGTAACGCGCAACATGGAGGCATCTCCCCCTCCTCCCCCGCCCCGTCAACATAAAAACCCTGAAGAGATGAGCACCTGCTCAGCCAAGTGACCAAAGGAGGAACGCTGCTTCTTAAAGAGAAATGATGTCATCCACCACGCCTGACACACCCCACCCCCCAAAACAAAAACTCTTTGGATCTACATGATTCATGTAAATGACATGTTTTAGTTTGAAGTTGGCAAATTTTGCCGAAAAGCGACAAGTATGCAGGTATGGATAAAGGAGGACCATCAGCCTTTGGCCGTTGGTGCCCTGATGGCTGCTTGCTAGTCACAGTTAAACAGGGGTGGAGGCGTTGAAGAGCTTGTTAAAACATTTCAACAAGTTTATAAGTTTTTATTTACTTAGAGAAGTGTGTGCTCTATCTCCGCCGATTTTCATGTTGCTAATTTACGCCACTTGTATTTCTGATAAAATCACTGACATATTTATGTCATGGTTAAAATAATACGCAGCTTCACCACTGAGCGGCGCTGTTGCACCATGGAAATAATTCATTCTGTATCTTGCAGGGTTTTTCTCATTCAGCCCAGACTGGGGGTCAGGTCTAACGCCTCGCATATCATCTTAACCAGTGAAGTGTAACGGAAATACGAGCGCTGTAAATTAGCTCCATGAAGATCGGTGGAGATAGAGCACATACTTTTCTAAGTAAATTAAGGTGATCCATGCGACCCGGAAGTACACTACGGATCGTGCTTCCGTAACAGATAGGGGAAAGACAAGGACAAAGTGGAAAATACAGGAGAGCGGCCATGTTTAAAATGGAGCATCTGCAGTTCCTGGAATAAAGTTTGTGAGGTTAAACCACTGTCTATTATTTAGTTTTATTGTCAGAACAAAATGCATTTCTTGCATCACATCAGTGAGCATCTTATTTTATTTACAACATGGGGTGAAACATCCGACTGCACGCTTGTCATAAAAGCTACTGAAGATGATGTCCAGGTGAAAGATGCATTTTTATTACTCTGCTTGGAACCAGAGACCGAGCATCTGAGAGTAAGTTAGGACATTCAGTGTTTCCCGAGTTTACTTGCCTTGGCAGGGCGCTCATCTTTTCCATGATTTTTGTTGAGCAATAAACACATGGCTGCAGTTTTTAGACATTTTCTGACAACATGCTCATCCAAACGTGAGTCAAAGTGTCACCAAACAGAGCTTCAGCTACTCCATGTGATTTTGGACTGATGGAAAATGAAATAATAAGAGACTGGCTTATTAATAACGCTCTTCTTAGTGCTGTGAAGGTCACAGTACTGCTGGAAGCTCTAACATGTCCAGAGGAAGCAGCAGATAAAAACTGCTCTCAGGTACAAGTACAGCCCCCAGGGCACCTGTACGGGCAGGTGCAGGCGGGATCGTTTTGGAGAGAAAAGAAGGGAACTAACAGCTCAGACACGTGGACCTCCACCCCAAGATAACTAAAAACAGACAACTCATGAAGAGCAACATCATTGCTTCAGATGTGGATCAGATAAACACCTAGCTAAAGATAAGAAGGGTCCTCCTGCACTGCTTAAATATGAGAAGTACGGGCAGTGACTGTGGAGTTGTGGCAGGGCAGTCAACTTGCTTTAAACCATCATTTCCTATTTTATTACCATCATAACACTAGTTAGAAGCTAAAAGCAGCAAAGGGCGAGTTCAAAGTTGAAGCAGAGCAGTAACCACATCACTGCTGAATTAGGAAGTGTAGCTGGTATAAAAGTATTTTGTTACCTGAATTTTGAAAACATACAGTGAAAAGTGTGTGTCAGTACTTACATCTTGACCTGTGAGACTGTTTTCCATAGTGGCGGCACAGTGGAGCTGCAGAGTGGGCAGGGTGGGCAGGGGGTCAGAGAGAGTGAGGGTGGACAGGCGCAGGGGGCCCAGGCAGATCCTTCCAGTCTGTTTCAGGCAACGGACCAAAGTACTGCAACATCAGATTTAGAAAACTGCTGTTTTACACACAAATAAAAATTATTCAACAAGAGCACATTTACAAAAACCTTCCTAAATTATAGAAACTTCTAGCTTGCCCTACTTGGCAGTTCCACTTCACTTCAAGCTTGGGCCCTCTGCCAGAGGCCTGGGAACTTCAGAGTTCTGGTCACTATCTCAGCTGTTCCTAGGACTGAGTTCTTCTGGATGGAGATCTCTGAGGTTGTTCCTGGGATCTGTTGGAGCCACTCTTTCAGTTGTTTTTTTTCTTGGGGGCGGGCAGTGTTACAGGACTGAGTGCTCCAATGACCACTGAGACTGCTGACACTTTACTCTCCACAACTTCTGCATTTCCTCTTTCTTGGTATTTCTCCAGATTCTCCTGCTCCTGATGTTCCAGTCACTTGGGATTGCTACATCTATCACCACTGCCTTCCTCACTTCTCAATGTCTGGTTAGTTAACCATCACCCGTTTGTCACTCTGGATCTGGAAGGCCCATTGTATCTTAGTATGTCTCCCACTTTGACTGTGGGACCTCCAGTCCATACTCAGCACAGATGTTCCTGTACATTATTCCAGCCACTTGGTTATGGTGTTCCATGTATGCTGTGTTTACTTGGATATGGATCTTTTCCTTTTTGATAAATCCAATAGTTCAAGTTGCATTTTAAATGATTTAAATCTTAACATGTGATTCTTGGCCTGCCATTGAATTTCCGTTCCTCCTTCCTGTTCCTCTCAAACCCAGCTGGTCGAAGCAGATGGCCGCTTGTCCTGAGTCTGGTTCTGCTAAAGGTTTCTTCCATTTAAAAGGGAGTTCTTCCTTTCCACTGTTTCCTTTATGCTTGCTGAGGATGAGAGGCTACAATGAAATTAAATTGAAAGCAGTCTGCTCCTCAAATAAATAATATAAACTTATTTTTTATAATATTAATGTTTCTGTTCAGTGCCCTGAGATGACTTCTGTTGCGACTTGGGAGCTATAGAAATAAACTGAATTGAACTGAATTGAACTCTAAAAAAGTTCAATTCAAAATAATAGTATATATATATATAATATATTATGTATATATATAAATTATGTATATATATAAATTATGTATATATTATTATATATATCATTATGATCAGTGTGCTAATGAATCCAACCAGAGAACATTGTAATAGGACCTCATTTTAGTGAATGAAACATTCACTATAAAAAAAATCTTTATATTTGGCCTCAGGGGGATATAGGACTATTTCTGTCTCAAACCAGAGTTGAATGTGTTTTATACTTATCCAACGTCACACATTCTCAATGAAGGATTTTTTTTATGCTTCTGCATGCAATTCAAGAGTTAGGATAGATTACATAATGAATCTGAAGTGCTACGGAACACAAGCACAGACATTTTACACTATTATAAAACAAATATTTCCCCTGGAACAATACAAATAAAAGTTCTCTTATGGCGCTTTGCCACTGTCTCAACTCTCATCGGTTTCACACTGCACCAGTTAAGGGCCTGCCCACTGCCAGTACCCACACCCACTCAGCCCAGTTTATGGGACCGCCTTGTTTGAGGTTCCAAGCGGACTGCTCCGAGTTGCTGATTTTGACGTAAGCTGACAGCAACCATTGATTTCCCAGAGGAGCTACGTTATTGGATGAGCTGCCATTTTCTCTCTGATCATCTTGACTGCCTGCACCAGAAACAGAGGTATTTACAGAGAGGTATTGGAGATGATGGCGCAGCATGGCTCCACCCGGACTTATGAGCAGTGCCGGGATAAGCTAAAGAAACTGAAGTCCAATTGTAGGGCGATTAAGGACCACTACGGGCAGAGTGGCTCGAACACAATGACCAGTTACGATACCGCCCAATTTGCATTGACCATCCCACCCACAGAGTGGAGCAACAAGTCACAGTGGCAAATCAATTAAACCTGAGAAGAACCGACAAAATGAGAGCCAAGTGGAGTCACACTTGTCAAAGGCAAAGCAGCTTTAGGTGGTTTTCACACCTGATAGTCCGGTAGACTCGGTTCGGTTGGGGACCAATATTCATGACCTTTTGTTACATTTGAGCTGGTGCGTTTGCATTCACACTGCACTGTGCAGTCGAGTCAACCTGTTGAACCAACCTGTTCCCCCGCTCGCCTGTGGGGGCGCTGCACCAACAACTACTGTAAGAAACAACACAAAAACCTCTGAAGACACGTCTTCTTCTACTTCTTCTGGAAATAAAAACAAAAACGGAGTGATGTCAAATATGGCGCCCTGCCCTTTCAACAGAATTGAGCGTCCTGCCTACCGAGCCGAACCTAGAAAAAGCTAGAGGTGGCACTCTGATTCTCTCACGCTGAGCCATATCTCAAAACTCAGAAAATCATCACTGGATGTAAAGCTACACCTACTTAACTTTGGAGTCACCCCATTTCAAGATGGCTCCCACAGGCAAACAAACATTAACCAACACAATTAGCTATAACTCGGTCAGTTTTATAGATACGGAGTTCAAAGTTCACATGGTAGAAGCTGAGTTGTTTACAACAGAGTCTGAGAGAGAGGTTTACCAAACATACCTATAACATCTTATTCCTCAGCATAAGATGATAATAGCTTTAAACTCTAAGATGAAAGGTGCCAGGAAATGTTAAGCCTTTAATATAAATTAAAGCAATCACATTTCAAACATAAAATCATTGTAATAAAAATAAAATCGGACCAACATGTCAAAATCAAAAAAATTCTGCACAATACAGCACTTAAAGCTGATTAAGGTATGTGCTAATGTGCAGCCTGCAGTGCCAGCAGCATGAGGACATAAGAGCATTTACCTGCGTAATATCACTAACATTAGAAACATCTGATCTAAAGATGATGCAGAAAAACTGGTCCATGCATTTGTCACGTCTAGACTGGACTATTGCAATGGTTTATTATCTGGGTGTCCAAATACTTCTTTAAAACGTCTTCAGTTGATCCAAAATGCTGCTGCCAGAGTCTTAACTGGAGTTACTGGGAGAGATCATATCTCTCCAGTTTTAGTTTCTCTCCATTGGCTCCCTGTCAAATCCAGAATAGATTTCAAAATCTTACTTCTAACCTACAAAGCTCTCAACAACCTGGCTCCATCTTATATTACAGATCTTATTGTTCCATATTTTCCTAACAGAGCACTTCGCTCTCAGACTGCAGGTTTACTTGTGGTTCCTAGAATTTACAAAAACAGAATGGGAGGAAGATCTTTCAGTTCTCAGGCTCCTCTCTTGTGGAGCCAACTTCCAGTTTCTGTCCATGAGGCTGACACATTGTCCAGTTTTAAGACTGGGATTAGGACTTTCCTTTTTGATAAATCCTATAGTTAGGGTCGGCTTGTCATGCTGTCTTAAACTTAGACTACTAGAGGATTAATTGAGCTAATTTCCTTAAATGAATTATTAAAAATTAATAGTTTTCTTTTGATACTATTTCTATCCTAGCATGTGATTCTTGACCTGCCATTGTGTATCTGTTCCTACCAAACCCAGCCGGTCGAAGCAGATGGCCGCTTGTCCTGATCCTGGTTCTGCTAAAGGTTTCTTCCTCATGAGGGAGTTGTTTCTTTCCACTGTCGCCTTCATGCTTGTTCAAGATGAGAGTTCAGTGATGGAGTTAAACTCAAAGCTGCTCCTCACATAAATAATATTAAATTATTATTTTAAATATGAATGTTTCTGTTCAGTCCCTGAGACGACTTGTGTTGTGACTTGGTGCTATAGAAATAAATTGAATTGAATTTACTCCAACGTGCTCCTCTGCTCCTCCTGCTGGCTGGCCTTGGCCATGGCACTGACAGCGGTGCGAAGGAGCTGCACCTCAATGGCTCTCTGCAGCTCTACTGGATCTGGACTCATGGAGGGCAGAAGATTCTTCAAATCTGAACACACACACACACATATATACATATAACACAGTACTTTTATAAGTTTATTTAGAGGACAAGATGGTGTAGAGGTAGGGCAGCCAGCCTAGGACCTGAAGGTCACAGGTTCAACTCCCCACCATGCCAACATGTCATGGTGTCCTTGAGCAAGACATCTAATGTATAATTGCTCCCCGGACACTTACATAGATGCCCATTGCTCTACCTAGGTGTATCTCAGGTGTGATGGTTTAAATGCAGAGAACTAATGTCATCATTGTATAGCAACATACAATGATGACAACACATAGCACTTTCTTTCTTCTATTATCCACCTTATTCCTGGGGGCTCTACTGTATTATGAGTACAACTTCCTGTCAGACACAAGTAGCACGCATTAGCTAACCATGGTAGTGGAGCACGGACCGCAGTTGATTCAGTTTGGCAGAGAAAGCACTGTTTTTGTTTTGTTCACATTTATTTAACAAACGTAAAGTTGACTAAAATAGCCGTGCTGCATTCAGGTACCTGTTGTGTTCACGGCTGCAGAACAACCAGACCAAACTAAATCAGTGGCTACAACAACAGTTTTGAACATGGACCCAAAACAAAAAGAGTTCCTGTGAAAAGAGTTATAGTTTCATCTCCTACCTACAGTTGAGGAATTAAGAAGAATGTGGCTGAAAAATGTGAACTTGAAGAGACCAGCCAAAACTCTGTCTGTGAGCTCATTTCACTTAGTTGTCAGATGACCGACGGAGGAAAACCTGCGTCCTACTTTGTGTCTGGACAACAATAAACCACCGGAGAAGAGACGCCGGATCCTCAGAAGGATTAAAAACAGTGACGAGAACATCAGGTATGATTTCAAGTGTATGGAGGACACAGCTTTATAGTATTTGTTCATCTTCAGTTTTATGATTTTCTCTGTAATTAACCTCAGCTCTGTGATGGAGGACTTTCAGACTTTGGCTGGGCTCTATCCTGGTCGTCCTCCATCCCTAGTCCTCAGCAGGCAGTGGTATGATTGTCCTGTTTGAGCTCTGGCAGATGGTGCTCCTACATGTTTAAATTAAATCCACAATGCTCGGAGAAACTATATTAGCTCGTACTGTTCACACAGAAACAAATGCTGGTTCTGGTCCGCGCCGTAAGTCACGTCCATAATTCACGCAAGGCAGCATGGGGGCTAGGAATAAGGTGGATAAGGCTTTCTTCAAAAATATGTTTTTATTTTGTTCACATAAATGAATCCATAGTGTGGTAAATGCTGATTGGTTGTTTTGGCGGTTCTCCATGCTTACCCAGCTTGTCCTTGCTGCTAGAAATTGAAGTGTAGTCCTCCCCGGGCAGGAGCTCCAGCTGACTTCCACATTCTGCCAGATCTCCTTCTTCGAAGTGGCTTAGAGCCTGGATGTAGTTGAAATCTGTCCTCAGGTTGATGTTGACCGGGTTTGTGGAGTTTTGTTTGAGGGCACTGATGGTGGTCTGCCACTCTTTAACGGAGGCCCAGTCACAAAGTGCCACATAGCACTGACAGGACTTGTTAGCCAGAAAGTTGACAACCTCAGGGGAGCACTCCGTGGACTTGAGCAGCACAGTCTTTCTGATGTCACCTATTCAGAGAAATGCAAAAACATATGATTTGCTTATAAAAACTTACAGTCGTACATTAAAACACAACACAAACAAAATGTACAGGTGACTAAAACATTTAAACAAGAGTACCTCATACAGCAAATTATATGCCTGTCGATTAAACACCTGTACAGTGATCTAAACAAGGGCCTGGACAAGCAAGGACTTTGGATAACCTTCTACCTTGATTTGACCTTGACCTTCGAGCTGGGGTGGTGAAAGATTACAAAACACGCTGTCTGGTGGTGGGACAAACGTGTTTCAAGTTTGTTAACTTAGCTTGAGCAGATCAGAAGTTACAGGTGGGAAACACAAAAAAACATGTTTTAAGTTGGACTTTGATTTGTGACCTTGATCTGTGCGTTGAATTTAGGAAAAGTGTACGAGACACACCGACTAACTGTGTCCGACATGTGCATGAAGTGTCTGTCAATTATCTTGAGCAGATCAGAAGTTATGGCCAGGACAAGAGAAAGTTTATGGACCAACGGAGACTGTATCACGTCAGCATTAAGATGGACATCTAAAACTACTTTCTGTAAAATAACTCCATCCATACGCACACCCACACATCCACCCACACATCCATCCATCCATCCAGCCATTATCTTCTACTTGTTCCAAAGTCGAGTCGCAGGGGCAGCAGCTTGAGCAGGGACTGGGAGGTCCTGACATCTCTTCCCACAGCCAACTCTTCCAGCTCTTCTGGGAGGACTCAAGGTGTTCCCAGACCAACTGAGAGACAGTCTCTCCAATGTGTCATGGGTCTTCTCCAAGGTCTCCTCCCAGTCAGACATGCCTGAAGCACCTCCCTAGGGAGGCATCCAGGAAGCATCCTTACCAGATGTCAGAACCACCTCAACTGGCTCCTCTCGATGTAGAGTAGCGGTTCTACTCCGAGTCTCTCCAGATAACTGAACTTCTCACCCTGTCTCTAAGGGAGAGTCCAGCTACCCTGCAGAGGAAACTCCTTTCAACCGCCTGTATCCACGATCTCATTCTTTCAGACAATACCCAGAGTTCTTGGCCATAGGTGAGGGGAGGAACGTAGACCGACCGGTAAACAGAGAGCTTCGCCTTACAGCACAGCTCCCTCTTGACCACAACGGACCAGTACAGAGTCCACAATACTGAAGATGCTGCACCAATCCGTCTGTCAATTTCACGCTCCATTCTTCCTTCAAACATGAACAAAACCCTGAGATACTTGAACTCCTCCACTTAAGGCAGAACCTCACCCTTGACACGAAGAGAGCAATCCACACTTTTCCAACTGAAGACCATGGCCTCAGATTTGGAGGTTCTGATTCTCATCCCAGCCGCTTCACACTCGGCTGTGAACCACTACTGTGAGAGCTGAAGATCACAGCACGATGTTGCCAACAGGACCACATCATCTGCAAACAGAAGAGAAAGAATCCCAAGGCCACCGAACCAGACTACCTCCTCCCCCTGGCTGCACCAAGAAATTCTGTCCATAAAAGTTATGAACAGAATCAGTGACAACAGGCAGCCGTGCTGGAGTCCAACTCCCACCCTGAAGGGGTCCGACTTACCGGCAACGCAAACCAAACTTTGCACCGTTTGTAACTTGAACCTGACTCCAATTATTGGCATGTCATAATAGTTCATTCCATGTTGAACATGAGTCAGACTTTGCTTTTGATGGTTAATTCAGTAGACTATTTCATATATTTAAACATGATGGCAATATTTTTTAGCCAATACGTCCAACAAACGACCTCTCCACTTAAAAAAAAAAGTTAAAAACAAAACCACTGGACTTTATTTGTAACTGAAGATGTTTTGCTTCCCAAGCGAGGAGCTTTCTCAATTCAATGAAACAAGGAGTGTGGGATTCAAGTTATAAAGCTGTGGTGTTTTGTAAGCTTGCATAATGTAGACTGACACATGCAGATTGACCTCTCACTCTTCACCAGCAACCTCTTCACTTCACAATGATATGTCTCATGTAGACTGAGCCCTCTTAAAGAACAACATGCTCCAGCTGGTTCAGGATTGAAGGAAAGCTTCTCCACACTGAAATATTAAGATCTTTCTGCACCTGATGCTCAGAACGTTTATTATCCTATTGAAGGACTCATGATCAGTGGTTAATTTGAGCCGGATCTTGCCGGAACAAGAACCGGGAACTCCCTCATTTTTACCGTGTGCATTCCGGCAACTGTTCGCTCAGATCCGGCAGCTCATATCTTCACCAATAGAAGTTCAAAGTCATCGCGCATTTGATTATTTATTAAAAATACAACGAGAAGAGACGTTGCCCAATCTGTAGAGTAGATATTACTACTGCAGCAGGCGCACAAGCTCCTGCCCAGCAGAGACACTGACCTCGTGTCCCGCAGGGATGAGTGTCTTCATCCACCTTCAGCTGTGTCTCAGTAACCAAACCAGCACAAACGTAGCACTAACCACTCATTGTATTTACTAGAATTTTTTACATGGGTGGGGTGGTCAGCTTCACCTGCTCAGCTGTGCGCCCTGCAGACAGTGCACGTTTTATGCACAGGAGCGTCTCCAGACAGCTCTGCAGAGCGCACACAACTGTTGATGTGTCAGAACTCCTGCATACATTTAAAAGATAATAAATAAAAAAAACTTACAGCTAAATATATATATATATATATATATATATATATATATA